TAATAATAATAATAATTAATAAAGAACAGAAGAGCATAGTGTGGATGCTTTACAGCATCCACACAATAAACTTGCAAGTAAGGAATTAAGAGATACAACATAATAAAAAGGCTTACAATCCCTGACTTTGTTTTTTTTACACTGTTTACCACCACAGAGGCAAATATGTGCATATGATTGCAGATTACAGGAAATGTCTAGGTTGATTGAATGACTGACCGGTTGGTTTCGCATTATCGGCTCTCTGTGTATCCGGGGTGTTTCCTGTGTAATACCGTATCAAGGATGGCATGAGCTCAGCAATTTAGTGTCATTACGACAGCAGGAGTCCACTTACGGCACAGTTACGTCACGTATTGCTCAGCAGAAGAGCAACTGCCTCAAATTTATGGCTGCAGATGTGTAGCCTGGGATTAACCGACAAAACACGGACTGGTAAATCAGTATTTGACCTTATCCTTAATACGCGCATGTTAATGAGCCCCTTCTGTGTTATATAATCCGTGTTATGTTACTGTACACGGGTCCTGTGTCGTTGGCTATATGCGCGTCCATTGCTATCTGACGCTCAAGCCGTTAAATAAGATAAGGCTGCAGGTTGCTTATCGACAGAGCTTTTTAACAGTTATTTGCTCAGTTTGGGGCATTTTTACCAGGAAGACACACTGGCAAATATCAAGTGAATCCCAGTGACTCAGTTTTACATCGTCGAACTTGTAATGGTTGCGTCACAATATATTTAAAGCATCTGCTTTTGCCCACTATCATGTCCTACTGTGTTTTTCCATAGATGGAAAACACGGGACGTCATGAAAGAGACTGACACTGTGAGGGTTGAGAAAGATAATAATTGGTAAGTCGCGGCAAATTTTGTGGGTTGCTGTTTTTCACGTTTCTTTATGCGTTCTTCAGAAAACAATTTCAGGTGAAAAATGGCATTCCACGATCTTCTGACAAAAGCCGTAGCAAAACAAATCAGACAGGAAATGGAATAAAGGCTGTAACCACAGGCTAACTCCGATCAGGCATAATGACTCTTGTCTATTTCTGGGTTAGTGAAGAAAATGAAGAGGAGGCTCCAATGAGGCGAAGTTTCTCTGTAGAAGACCTCTTGGATGAGGTGGAGAAGATCTGTTATGATGCCTCAGGAGCATCAAAGGTGAGAAACAAATTCACCCCACTAAATTGTCAGGGCCATAGTCTGTAAATGTGCATTTTGAGAATTTCATTGTATCCACAGTCTATATTTTAAAATTGCTGATAGATTTGTATATGTTTTGTGTAATCAACTTTGCATAAATGCAATCATGAGCTTATATGAACAAAAAAATATACAGCATATGGGCTGACATTTTAAATATTCAGGCAACATGTTAGGGAACATAATCTATAATGACATTCCAGGTATGTGTACTTACTAACCCTCTCATGTTAACGGCTGTGTGGTCACCAGATGTTTTGGCCAGCTCTGGAGGTAAGCACAAACAGGAATCGTTGTGTCAGAGGTCATGTTATTGGCTTTCATTCCAGGTGGAGATGGTGGTGAGGCTGTGGAAGGATGGCTTCACTGTAAATGACGAGGAGTTTCGCAGCTACTCCGTACCAGAGAACCAGGATTTCCTGGATGCAATCAAGAGGGGGTGAGTTAAAGTTGGCTATTCCAGAATTTTTTCAAAGTATATTAACAGTGGATTAAGTAAGATTTTGCTATCTGAGGGCACAGAAGGACCATAATACCATTAATAGCACCCATTTACAGTGTACCCCGTTTATATAAGAGATGTGCATATAATGTAACTTTAATAACTGCAGAAAACTGTTCAAGACTTGTTTGACCAGTTCATATGAGATAGCTGTCACATGTTAATAGCATAGATGTCATTATGAGAATGCATTTTGGTGCTACAGATGTTTGTGTAAAACCAGGGAACTGCAGAACTTTAAATAAATACCAAAGAAATATGATTTTCAGTTCTCTCTCCATGCTTGCTCCTCACTTAAGCACACTCATTGGTCCTGTTTTTCAGCTAGTCTTTTACCAAATTGTTTAGTCAGTAACTTCAAATTAAATTACTTCCCATACTTATTCACCAAGAGCAACGTCAAACTTGTGTTTAACCCAATCAGGGGATGGTCTCAAAACCAGGTTGGATGATACATGTTGAGCCACAGGTATAGGTCACTGTGTTGCAGATTTTTGACAAAAATAAAGTAGGTTTTGCTGCCAGATCACCACCAGTCAGATTTTGCTTAAGCTCAGAGTGTTGATTCACTTTATGTTTTACAAAACACAAACGTAAAAACACCCTGTACGGCTTCACGTTACATTAAAATATGTACGTTTTGTAACTCATTTATAGCATATCACCTGTCTTTGTTTGATTCATTAGTTCCCTAGCAGTCCCCAAAGGGAAATTAGCACCACAACCAGGCAACAGAAGATAGATTAAGCATAATTCTCATTAGTGCTCATTTGTTATATTGATTGATATGACTAGATTTCAAGCCTGATCTTTAATGTGTCCCAGGGAGCTTCCAGCAGAGTGGGAGAGCAGAGCAGAAGAGGAGGAGCTGGAGATCAGTGTGGAAGATCTGACGGAAGAAAATTATGTTCCCAAGAAAAAGGCCTTTCACCCATTTAGTGGCCGAGGATACCGGCTTGGCAGGTAAGATCTTGGTGTTGTGAGACTATTACCAAGTAAAAGGTTAAATTTTCACAGTAATGGGCTGCAGTGTCTGTCTCAAGTTCTAAGATTCTGTACTACTTTGTACCACTAGATGTCCCTTGAAATCCAGGTATCAGAAAATCCACAAAGCAATCTGACCAAGGAGAAACTTAGCCTGATGAACTGAGAGCCTTAAAATTTTCAAAACATCACTGTATGAATAGTGAATTGTCCAGAGTCTAAAAGTATTATGTGTGACATTTTATCTGCCCATGATGTGCAGTTATCAAAAAAAAACAAAAAAACAAAAAAACACAATGTTGTATGTGCTTCTGATTCTTAATCTGTCCATTACCAGTGTTGCCCCTCGAGTAGTGGCGAGGTCACCATCTGTGCATGAGGATGGAGAATCTCCTCCTATTCCCATGGTAACACTAGACCACGCCCTTCCTGTTACCTCCCTGCAGATCTGGTTGGCTGACGGCAGGAGATTGGTGCAGCGGTTTAACCTATCGCATCGGTGTGTATCACGACTTCAAAAGACTTTACGTCTCGATTTGTGAGCCTGACATCATCAGATATAATCTACATATTAAAGCCAGTCTAACTTTTTTGCTGCTGCCCTGTCTGTAAAAAGCATAATCTCAAGCATCACAGAAAAGTAGTAGTAGAAAGGATGACTGAAGATTTTGGTTTGTACTCACTCAGGGGGTGGCGTTGAGGTTTATATGAGGATTACATAATGCTTCATTCTAGTGTGGTGTTCGGAGGCACAGTGCATGTTATATCCCTTGTCACAGTGCATGGGCCTCCAGAAAACATTATGTGGCATGTAGCAACAGAGTGGATGTATAAAACCCCAAGTGAAGGATTGGGTAACTGTAATGCAGCATTTATATAACAGGGTAAGTAATGAAGTGATAGACAGGACTGAACCCCTCCGACCTTCAGCTAGCCTCTGTGTAAGAAGCAGGGCTGCCAGAGGATGGCTGGGCTGTAATTAATAATAGATGATCTTATGAGTAAAGTGCTTCGGACAGAGACCATGTGTCAAAGGAGAGAGTAAAGTGTTCTGCCAAAAATGCCACACCACAGACATATTCGGGTTTTTAATATAACTCTATTTGTTTTGTAGGATCGCTGACGTTCAAGACTTTGTGGCACGCTGCCAAAGAAGCTGCCCCCCCTTCGTTTTGACAACATCACTGCCTTCCCGAGAGCTCACCGATAAAGAATTAAGTCTAGAAGAGGCGGATTTGGCAAATGCTGTCATTGTCCAGAGACCCCTGCACACCCGGACTCTGTTTGGACATTCCTGACCAGCAGGGCCCCATAATTTAAACAGCACGCCACCTTTTCTCCCACTGGCACATCACCATCCTCTTCCTGATGGCAATCTCACTGCCTCCTATGACTTGCATATTTATATATTCAGTGGTTTGTGCTACATTTGATGATTGTTATTTCTCTCTGCAGTCTCTGTGTGGGATTATCTAATGGAGATAGTATCTATTAGTGACAGAGGTGCTACTGTCAGTGCTCACTTTGTCTTCTTCCTCCAGAGGATTTACCTGCCAACAGGTCTCCCAAACTGTAGAAAAGCTGTCAAGGCAAACTGATTCTGTTGCCCATACAGATGGACACACATGGTTGACCATCTGTTGGTCGACTATAGTCCACGTAACCCTCCCTTCTTCCCTCACGCACACACACCATACCACCACAAACACACTGAAGTCTTCCCAAACTGTGATCACCACATGTCTGCACTATTTACTGCAAAAACGGGGCTGATATTTCACTTTGTATCTCTTAAGTTGATTATATTTAACAAATGTTATGATTTTAAAAAGAAAAAGATGACGGCTTGTTATTTATTTTGGTCTGACTGTTCAGTTTTAACATTTTTTTGTGTGTCTATGTGTGTTTTTTTGTGAACATTGGCCTTTGTTTTGGGACGGGAGATGTAGAGATTTTCATTTACAGTGTATAATTTAATGTCTCGTTTGACTACACAGACATATCAAGGTACTATAAAAACCCTCAATTTTTTGCATATGTTTGTTTTATTTCTGTTATTATATTATTGTTAATACCAGGTTTTGTGTGAAGCCTGTTGACAGAAATATGTGATAACCTAGGCTGCTCACAGCCTCATGTGATTATGATTATTATAGCATGACAGCACCTTATTTCATGTTGTAATACAATATTTGTGTTTTCATGTTATTTAATGGGGAATTACAGTAGATTCAGGAGGCAGTGATATAAAAAAAGATGGAGGAATGATGTCTTCACACTGGTGTTACTTAACCCAGTGGGTGTGAAAAGCATGTATGCTATGGTATGAAATGTACCCACACTGATCATTGTGTAATGGTCAGTAGGTTGTAAAAATCAGTAGCTTCACAATAAAATTAATCAAGAAGATGAAAAGGGCACAAATTAAAATGCAGTTGAAATAAAGCAAAATCCCTGCTGGGTCTCTTTTTCATCTCCAATTTTGAATCTTGTGTTTCTTGGAATGAGTAGGGACGTGTGTGTGTGTGTGTGTGTGTGTGTGCTTGCTGCTCCATCCTCAGGCTTTCTGCTTCTGGAAGAAGGTGAACACCATTATCCGTCTTCAATATTTAAAGCAATGGGAGGGAGGGTGTACAGAACAGGAAGGAGTATGTATTTGCTCGTGGCTGAGGAAGAAGAGATGACAGCCACAATATGGTCAAGGTCACAAATGAGCAGTCTTGAATATCATAATCCTCTATGAAGGATTACCTTTTGATGAGACCGTGCTGCACAAGTTGAAATGTGGTCGTCAGGCGGGGGGGGGGCTGGCTAAACTATAAAACAGCACATTTCCTTTGTGTTGCATATTTAATAAGGCTAAGCATGCAGGGAAGTACTTTGATTCTAACTTGCGTAGTTCCTTTCAGAATGACCCTTTTACTTTTGCAGCAGCCCACCTTTGATTTTGCACAATCCTCTTCACACATGATCAGAAACATACCCATTCTAATGCAGTTCATATGCCTGACCATTCTGCCGTGGTGCCTTTTTCATTGTTAATAATGTGGTTTTGGTTGAGGGGTTTACATGCCTGGAATTTATGGAGAGGTCTGTGCTCAGCAGCCGAGGTCTCTGTGTTTGTTATGCTCTGAGGAGAGATTTACTGTGGAGAGTAGGCATCCTGCACTGAAGGAGCTGCTTATGAAAGTATTTTGTAGGAAAAGAAAAGGCACTCACAATAGGCAAAGACTGAAAAAAGGGTGTGTAGGACTGTTGATCATTCCTAGACAAGACAAAAGCATTTCAGCCAAGCCTAACATCAGTTTATTATAAGGGAGACATTTACTTCCTTGTAAAGAGGTGCAACTCAAAGCTTACAGAATTAACACTCCGTCAGTTTTACACCTGAAAGGTCTACAGCTTATGACTTCTTCTTTGTTTGTTTTTATTAACAAAGAATACAAATGAGTTTTAGAGGCAGGTGAAACCTAAAGGCCCAGGCCACTAGCTGTCCCATAAAAATAGATTTGACCATATTTGTGACATATTTTGTTTTGTAGAGCCCTAGTGACACAGAGACTACTCATAGGCAACTGGTGAGCTCATCTCTAACAAGGCGGATAGCAAAGGCGTGCTAGCATTAGTCAGTCAAAATACCTCCCTGAGCTTTTCTCTCTTTTCTCTGTATTTTATTCTGGGAATTTTACATTATTTAATTAAATAAAGCATTTTATTCAAGAGAGGGACAAAGATCTAGGAGATAACATGCATGTTATCTGACCAGGACACAGCTTTTGTACACCACTTAATGTTCTGACAGAGGAAAGTTAAGAGAAACTAAATGCTAACAACTAATATGCTACATAACTCCATTTTTGAGCAATGATGTTGTGGGAATGAAGTGTGCACAGTAATGATGATGATGACATAAAGATTGGAATGATAATGAAGATGGTGCAGCGTGGGAAATATGTATGAAATATGTCGATACTTTGATGCGTTCTTTTTACACCCACACACCTTTCTGGTTTCCAGCTCCAGAAAACCGCACAAGTAAATCTTCGTGACTGAAAAGAAACCAAGCTGCATTTTGTACATTCCATTTGCAGATTACCTCTCCATTTGATGAGACAGTCATGTGGACTGGTGTTGTATATGGGTGTGGGGATGATAAATAGGCCTACACTGATACTGTAGATCTATGAGTTTACCACTAAGCATGAAGGGTTTTCTTATTGAAACTGTCATCAAAACAATTCTATGTGACAAGAAAATATCAGGTTTTGATATAAATCTTATGTGAAATGCAGAATATAATGAGGTGATCATAGGATTAAAAATAGGACTAGGCCTACAGTGTCACTGTCTCAAAACACTATGACGCAAGGAAATATTAGAGACAACTGCAATGCGTTTCCACTGGAAAACATTGCTGGTGTTAAACCATCGTTTGCCATAATCTCCTCAGAGATGCACACATAAACACAGGTGTACTGTATATACATTGCCATTCGTTTGTGTCATACCCCCCTTGCTGCCGCTGCAGGGCGCAGCTCTGTCACTGCAGCCTGAAAACAAGTGGAAACGCGCAGACCATCTCCATCCTCTGCAGTCTCCGTCTCATCCTGACCGCTTGACTGACGTGCGCATCACCCTACTGACCAAACTCACTATCAAGCCGACTGCACCGCTGACAGCGCTGCCCGGGTTTCTATCCACACGGGGTAGGAAGATATATGTGTTTCCTGCATTTTAAAAACATGTTTCATTCTTCTTATTATTTGTAGGCTCCACAGGGCAGACAACGCACTCTTGCACGGGACATCGGCGCATTTTGCGCCCGTCTGCTCTTTCTCAGTCATAACCAGCTGCGTAAACATGTCATATACAACAAATGATGGTAACCTGAAGGACTTTTAGTGGGCTTTATATTTGGAAAGGTTGCTTTAGGGTGTGTGCATGTGTGTGAGGGAGAGTTCTTGTTGCACTCTCCTGCATCTGTATTTATCAGTGCAACTGTGCGTTGTCCCGTTTACAGTATGTATGTTTTTCAACGTGCAAGCCCTTGTCTGTGCTCATAATTGTGTCGATGTACTTGCATTCTTGTGGTTGTATCTTGAGTGTATTTGTGAGCAGCCTATATGTGTGCTTGTGTGTGTGTGTGTGTGTGTGTGCTCTGTCCGACTTTGCCCTTGCTCTGTCCTCATTCCAGAGCACAACAGCGTGTGAATGGCAGCCGGCAGGCTTATCACAGAGGAGCAGGAGGAGCTCCCAGTCTCCAGAGCTGTCACTCACATACACCACACACACACCCGGAGTCAGAGCCACATCCACTTTCAGCCTCTGACACATAACGCCCAGTGGCAGCCTCCTCTCGCTCACACCAGGAGTCACAGCCACAGTCACTTCAGTGCTCCCTCACACACACAGTCTCAGAAGTACGGCTGTCGCCTCACACACAGTCTCTCAGCCATGACCAAGGGAGAGAGGGGAGGGCAGGGCTCTGCAAGGAAGCTCAGCAAACCCACTGAACCACTGTGCCCCAAAACTCCTGAGCAGGTAAGATCACCTGTTTTGGTGCTTTTGTTAGCACATATAATGGCTGTATTTTACCTCACATGCATGCAACTGTTGTTTGGTACCCAGTTGTGTGGTTTGACATTAAATCTGACATAAATGTTTAATCTAATCTGATGTATGTGTGGCTTCACATGATTGGATGGAGGGAAAACAAAAGATGGAAAGTGTGATCTCTTTAGTTGTTTGTTTTTGATTAATCAGCTGCATTGTTGTCCCATGATCTGTAATGCCTCAGAGAATAGACTTGTTGCCCTGGAAGTTGATTGTTTTCATTTGAGAAAGATCGTTCCCTCTGACAGGATGACCTGCTCCATGATTGGTTTCCTTTATCTGATCCAAGCAATATCAGTGGACTTTGGTGATGTCAACACTTGTAATCACAGGCATAATTGGAAGCAATAGAGAGCACAAAGTGATGGCCCACTAAGGTTTCTGGAAGATTGAATTACCTTTGCTGTCATTTTTTTTAAATCTAATGTCATTTGGGAGATTACAATTTGTGTGATAAGTTTGTAAAGTAGAGAAGCTCTTGTGTGTGAGATTGTGTTTCTGTCTTTGTGCCAGCTGAAGTAAGAGAAGACGTGTTCTCAGACTGATGCTGCTCACATGCATATGGCCCACAGGCTGTATAATAAAAGCAAATGTTAGACAGAGAACGAAGCCTTTACATTGTGCATTGCCCCTAAAGGAAGGTAGATGCAGCCAGTGTTTCAGATACTGCTGGGATGCAATTCCATGGCAGTTAGTCACTCATTTTCTGTTTTGCTACACCGGTTCAAGGTACACATGAAGCAGCATTACATCACACAGACCAACCTGTTCTGCAACTGTCTCATCTCTGTCAAACATCTATCTAATATACAGTGTTTCTGGTTTACTTTGGAGTTGGATTATAACAGTGAAGTCATTTCCCCTAAAGATTGAAGAATCATGTAAAACATGAATTCCCCTTCATCCCTGAAGGGGAATTCAAACATGAACCAAACATTAAAAAATAGGTTTGCCTAACAAGTTATTGTAATGTAAAACTAACTAAGTTATTATCACTCAATTTGAGAAATTTTGACTGCAACTTTATTGTTTTGTTATTATAGTTAGTCAGTCAGACACAAAGACGCAAAGTTTTCTGTATGAGACATGTTCAGTAAGCACCCTGAGTGGGGCGTAATAGATGAAGGGCTTCTCTCATGTTATGAACGAGGCACAATGATAGTAATGGGTAAACTGTCACAGCTAATTCCACACATAAAGCCTCTCAGTCTATCACAAAAGGACTTGTAGCAGAGCTTCATCACTCTGAAGATGGTACAGCGACTATGAACAGAATCCATGTTATGAACTTGACACCCAGAAATGTAAGAAAATATTTCCCTGAACCAACACTTAAACTGCTTTATGGATCAATTTTCCATCTTAAATTCAGCATTAAAACACTTAGTGTACACCTGAAGAATACATCTTTGACTCAAGAGTTATTTTTTTTTTATTTTTATTTTTTTTGCTAGAATTATCCTCAACCCTGATTTTACATGCTGTGCACTTCAGGCCTGATAAATTGTCTTCCCCTGAACTGTTAAAGATTCATTAACTTTAGAGATTAGTCTTATCTGTCCTTGTCCCTTTCTTGTTGACAGTCTGAACTTTGCAGATGCTCCCTTTACTTAGTGCCAGTGTTGTTATTTAAGTACGTGCATGTTAAGATGTATGAGGCTTTGTGTGTGCATCCAGACAACAGTAGATGGGACATCCTGTTTATCCTCTTTGATGATAAGAACGGAGTAATAAAAGAAGAAGTGTTGAGAGTGATAGGGAAGGGGAGAGAGAGAGCAGTGCTGCTGGGTGTGCCAAGTATTCTTGCACATCATCGGTTAAGCATCATTCTCCAGACACCAAAGACTTTGATTTTTCTCTCCAATTAAGGGTAATTGCAGTGAGAGTGGAATAAGAGCGAGGTGGCACCACCGTGCAGCCTTTACTTACCTCTGACCCGCTTGTCTTATGATTGAATAATTACACACCTCCCTCCTGGTAATTGTCGCTCTCAAACCCCTCCATGTTTTGATGGGGCGAAAAAAGCAGGAAGAGAAAACGTGAGCTAGATAATAACAGTGTGTTGGTCGTGGCTGTGGTTACTTTGGTGACTTTCTTCTTTCATTAAGCTCTGAAGGGAGAAGCTGTTGGCCAAGACTCCGCCGCTGGATGTGGAGTGACACTCTTTTCTGTGTGTATGTCTGTGTCTGACACCAAGGGTTATACAAAAGGGGGAACAGGCAAAGGTTGATATGTGTGCACAGCCTCGGAGACAGTCGTAAATATCTTGCTCCCTGGTCTGTGGTTTCTTGTCTTTTTCATGTGTGAAGATGAAAGCTTGTCCTTGTCGTTACACACAAACCCAAGCAGTCACATGCCTCATGGTTTTAGCAGAGCACGGTGAAGGAAACAGAGCTGTGGAAGATGCGGTGGGTTTCTCAGGCTCCTCCACTGTCTGTGCAGATAGACCACAGCGCAAATAGCCGGGAGGGGGGTCTCCTTCTGATCCTCTATTTTACACAAGCATACACTACATGAACATCTTTCTTGTCTGCTGGAGTAGGGAAATGAAAATATGGCAAGACTGATGATATAAGGCTGTAGCTGGGAGTAGAATTCATGAGAGAACAAGTGACTCAGCTTGTACATATCTTCCACATGCAAAACATTGTAGCATGTATCATGGAAGCACTGTAGCAACCACGGTACTTTTCTTTACATTCAACTGAATCATTAAATTATTGCAACATGACAACGAAGAAGGAATGTTATTTTTAGAACACCTGAAACAGAATCCGAAAGAATTCAGACTATGAATGACCAGAGGATTCACCACTTGTGAGTCAAGTCTGTTCTCATGGACTCATTTATCGGAGAGACACCTTATTTCTCTGGTGTGCCAGGAAGATACGTCACTGTCAAAAAACTTGCATATTACATATTATCATGTTGAGACTGAATCATTCATGTTCAGCAAAATGACATATTATTTATTTATAGTCCTGACTTTCTGTTTAGATAATGAGTCTAAAAAAAACAATACAGTCATACTCACTATGACTTAAATAAAGTTTTTTACATCTCTCAGTCTTAAACTTTAATTTCTTAAATCCACAAGTATGGTAATTTTAAATAATATCTACCACCAATGCCATGAAGAAATTTTAGAAACAACAACTTTATAATTAGTTTATAAAGTACTTCAGTTACTGTGTATTGTGTGTTTCAGCAAATGTTTTCAGTGGTTGCTCTTCTTTATTTCCTCCATTTCTTCTTTATCAGAATGCTAACAGAGAAGAAGAGTCTGGTCTACAAGGACATTATTATCTTAATAAGTTTTTCTCCTCTCCATTATCACTTCTCTTTTTACAGACTGACTTGAGCCAGAAGTTAACAATATGCAGTAAACTGTGTTTTGCCATTGGTGGCGCACCCAAGGAGGTGGCTGCCAGCTCCACGGCCTTCTTCCTGCAAATCTACCTGCTTGACATCGCTCAGGTAATGTGTTTGAGGACAAAGAAAATGGAAATGTGGACGAGAGAGAGTGTGTGTGGCTCCTATATATGAATAAAAGGGGAATGAGTTTTGTGGCTGCAGGTGTTTTTGGTTGAAATCTGTCCCTGTTCTGGTCCGCAGATTACTGCCTTCCAGGCCTCCCTGCTGTTGTTTATTGGTAAAGCCTGGGGTGCCATCGCTGACCCGTTGGTTGGTTTCTTCATTACAAAGAGCAGATGGACCAAGATTGGCAGATTCATGCCCTGGTGAGCTCACTGATCTCACTATGAAGGACACTCCATCACTGTTACTGTATTCCTCCTGCCATAGTCATGTACTCTGTTTTCCTAATTGTTATTCCTGCATTTAGAATTTTTTGTTTGGCTCAAAGGTAAAAATCAGGCTGAAACATGTTATTGCACACTTTAATATGCATAATGGGGCAGTGTTTTAGGAAAGGAATATTATAGCTTTTATGACACTGACTAAAGAAAATTGTGTGCAGTTACAATTCATCAGCTACAAAGTGAAATGAATGATTTAAATGCCATTATAAATATAATGAAAAACTTTAATATTTAAGCCATTGCATTACAATAACCAAATACTGTACCAGACAACATCAAGTATCACATTATACTACCGACATGTTGCTCAGCTCCACTCCTAAATAATCTAAGAGCCCAGTGAAAACAGAATACTCAGTCTAATAGCCTGTTCTTACACGGCAAAGTGCTGTTGTTGACATACAGCTGAGCCTGCATCAGGGCTTTTATTTGTTGCCGATTATGAAACATGTTTTGCTCCTCTTCTCTGAGATTTAATTATGACTCCTACATGGCGCCAAGATTTGTGCGAAACCTGAACAAAAACAAAGCCATGTGTTCCGGTTTTGGGTGGTTTTGAAATGATTGTCATGCCTGAGCCTTTCACCTGAGGTCTGAGCTAAATAAACAGTCACTGCACTTTTATTACACTGCTCCTGATGTTCCCACTGATGAACTGCACATACTATCTGCTTGAAGGGCGTGGGGTGCTTTTTGCCTTTTGATGTTAGACAATAGGCAAGGAAGGATATCAACATTCTTTCATAAATCATCTTCTACTTTGCTGCTCGGTGACATTTGATTATATTTATGTAACACCTTGGGCATCATCCAGTTTTCTTTCTCTTTCTTAGGAAGGTTTTTTTTTAGTATCTCGTGGCCTTTAAGAGCCACTTTATGAACAAACAGTTTCACTTTGTGACTGTAACTATGGATTAAATGAAGCTATTAGCACCATTTCCATTAATCACCATGTTCAAAGGGCTATGTGTATATGTCTTTTGAACACATTAGCGTGACACTTGCTGTAATTACACATTCAGAATCTAATGCCTACTGCATTATAAACCATAGCTTGCACCCAAGCTGACAGTGCTGGAGAGGGACCAAGTCTGCTGTAGCCAGCCAGCCACACTCAGATACTGACGGCTGTTAAATCAGCTTTGATTACCACTGACAAGCTGTAAGCGTGTGTGCTCTTGCTTGTGTGTGTGTGTGTGTTGTGTGAATTCTTTGTGTTGTATATATTGATATTTTAAATATGTGTTCATCAGTATTGGAGATGAGAGTACAAGACACTCCCTTAGTTTTTATTCCCTTGGAAAGTCCCCTTTGTCAATGCAGCAGGAAGTGCTTCTCCCCCTCTGGGTGTCAGACATAAAGTGGTTATTTATCTTTACCCTGGGTTCTTTAAGATGGAGTCATTCTCCAGAGAATTCCCTCTGTTGCCATGCTTATTATTTCCAGATTGTAGCAAAGCAGCATTCGAGTGGCAAGAAGAACCACGAGAAAGTCAGTTTTTAATTTAAAATTTGTCTCTGTTAGTGAAAAACAAGGTGACAGTGAGGTTTCATCAGTGGTGAAAGAAACCTTTATAAACGGAGTAAGTAAACATAGTAATTCTGCAATGTAAAAATACTCAGTTATAAGTAAAACCTTGAATTCAGATGTACAGTTACAGTAGGTAATATTACAGAAATATTGCCACATGTAAATGTACTCAAGTATGACAAGTAAACACACACAACCCTTGTGTCTGACGTATTATCAGTAACATATTACTGTATGTTACAATGTTAGATCTTCACACATCGCTCTCCTGTGAGGGGCCACAAGCCAAAATGATTGGCAAACATGGTTTTAATATTTAACAGTGTGTTGAAGTTTATAGGCAAGGCAACTTTAATTTTATAGCCCATTTCATACATAATCTCAAAGTGCTCTACAGAGATTGAATGAAATACATTAAAATAAAAAATATATAGCACAAAATATCACAGATATACGGGAAAATTGTAAATGCATCAAAAATGACAAGAATGAAGTGATATAAAATGGGAATCATCAGGTGCAACGTTGTACTTAAGCATAGTAATTTCCACCACTTGACTACAGTATACGCTACACAAGTGTATATATACACACAACTAAACCTAAAGTCTCTCCCATCCTACTGCACATTATCTAATTAATGTGCTGCAGATTCCTTGAACAGGAACAGGGAGGAGAGAATTAGAAGTGCCAGCCTCTGTCAATCTGCTTTGCCCTTATTAGAACTGTGCAAATTACTGTGGCAGGTGTGAATGTGTGTTCATGAATGCTTGATGCGTGAGAAAGTATGTAAGTGATTTTATGCATATGTGTTTGTTGCCGCTCCCTGAACACAGTCATCTTGCAGGAACGTTCTAACTGTCCGTTCCCTTTCATTTCACCCATGACCGATCTGTCAATGCTGCAGCACCAGCGTTGTCAGCCACCTTTGTTTAAGCAAACAATCAGGAGGAGAGTGAGGTCGGGCTGGCCTGACGATGCTAGAGGTGACTGTAACTGGCCTCTCTCTACCTCTTTCTCCCACATTCTCTCTTTCTAAATCACAGTGTAGAGAGCTCAGAGGTCAGAGCAACTGTGAGTTTTGTTCCATCAGTGCCCCTTTTCTACTTGTACTAAATGTGTTGGTATTGCATCTTTTCTAAGCCCAAGACCACATGACAAACAGCCTCCATTTTCTCTTTAGAAGGAAGAAGGTGGATGACATATTGGATGACATGCTTTTGCTTCACCCACTCCCCACCCCCACATTTCACATTTTACAGCTGCTCACTTTAACCATAATGATAGATACCAGTTGTTTACTTGTGAATTATACATGGCCTGCATAATGTATTGCTCCAAGTTTTGAGAAGAGCACAACACAGCAGAAATGCTTTGTGGTGCATTTGCTTGCATGTGTTCTGTTTGTGTGTGTGTGTCGATATGCATGGGTCTGAAAGATTGTGGTATTTCTCTGCTCACTTGTTCCTCCCAGGATAGATCTCTATCATACTTACAACAACATAATCACTGAGCATTCAGCTTAGGCTGTAATCTGCTAGGAACGTGGTCTGATTTGAACACAACCACCGTCGTCCCTATTCTGACAGTTTATCATGGTGATTATGATTGTTTTGAGACAGATTCGAGCCTAATTGTGAAAAAAATGTATTAAATAAAAGATATTTTCACACACACACATATATATATATATATATATATATATGTATATGAAGACATTTGTGTTTCTGCAGTACTTGATAATTTATCTTTGTCTTGTAGGATGGTGGGTTGCACTCCGTTTCTGGTGGTCTCCTACTTCTACCTCTGGTTTGTTCCTCCTTTCATCAGTGGCAGGTTCATCTGGTACCTAGTCTTCTATTGCCTCTACCAAACCCTCATCACTGTAAGTACCAATGCTCTTTCACACATGCATTTGATGTTTTAGAAATTGTCCTGCTTCAGATAACTCAGCAGGACTTCACGTGAAGTACAGGAGAGCCGTCAAGCGGGGAACAGCTCTGATTAATGCAGCTCATACTCTACAGATGACACATTACATAACATATACTGTTGATAAAATGAGGCAAACGCTAAGGCGGAGATGATTACATTCACCTTGTGCCTCCTGCAGCTCCTGGTGGGGTTTATGGTTTGATTTGTGAGACAAGCAGCAGATTAGAGTCAAGAGCTCTTAGATACCTCACCTCAAAGGAGAAGTGGAGTTATTTAGGTTGCTTTTTGTTATTGTGGTCCAGACCATTCATCTCTCACTCCCTGTCTGTTCTGCTCTGCTCTGGGGTGATCCATATAACATGTTACAAAGCATATAGATCAGTGCAGCCACACTGCGGCAAGCTGTAATTGCATGTCATTCAAACTCCTTGATAAGTATATAGTCAATCCTGCCAGAAACCTTTTGCTGGATAAATGCTGGTTACCACTTTTAGCCTCCCTTCATTGTCTCTCAATGTGTGTTTGTGTGAAGTTTGCTGGGAAAGCCCAACTCTGGTCATTTAGAGGGTCACAGTCTGCAAACAGAGGTTAGAATGCAACATAACTCCTGTTTAGTCAATCAAATGATAACAGGTTTCCATCAAATGAATCAGTTCTCACTTCCATCTGTATTGGACACTTATGCAAGCTCGATTCTATAAATGTTTGCAAATAAATGACATGCTGTATAAGAAAAACTAGCTGACAAAAATTCTTTCTCTGCTGCGTTTATTTTCATCGCACGCGCTTTTAGCCGCAGTGCTGAGTGAGCCCTTGTGTAAATTACAAAGTGAAGCAGGACTTGGTTTGCTTGCCTATTCTCTGGGAGAGGTGGTGCGGAAGGAGCAAACAGAGCTGAGGTTTGCCAACATGGAAACTGCAGAGATTGCTTTTGGTATATATATTTATATTGCATCTTCGTTTTCACAGGAACATGTAGGTAAAAAAAAAATAATCTAAAGATAACTGGGGTGTTCCCAGTTAACTGCCATGCTAGCACTCTGTAATTTAAGCACAGCAGCACCATGAGCTCAATGCTAACATGCTCATAGTGACAATGATAACATGCTGATACTTAGCTTTGCATTTAGGTGTATTTTCTATCATTTTCACCATCTTAGTTTAGTGTGATTGCATGCTAGCATTTGCTAATTAGAGGAAAGGTTAGGGGCCCACCAAAATCATTAGGATTCTTCTTCTGGGGACCATGAATGTTTGGACACATTTTCATGGCATAGCAGTCCTACCGACTAGTATCACTCTGCTAAAAACAAAAACCTCAAATCATTATATTTTCTCCACCCCATGTTTGATTAATGCTGCTGTTCCAGACTTGTATTTATTTTTGTTTCACCAAAACCGTGACTGTGCCTTTCTGCTTCACTGCAGTGCTTCCACGTGCCTTATTCTGCTCTCACCATGTTCCTGAGTACAGACCAGAAGGAAAGAGACTCTGCCACTGCCTACCGTAAGGTCTTTTAATATGAAAAAAAAAAATCAGTAAATGCCTGAATTAAATCTTTGCCATTTAAAATGTTGCACCAGTTGGAACAGATAGCTGAATGTTTGCCTGTGTGATGACAGGAATGACAATGGAGGTGCTGGGGACACTCTTGGGTGCTGCCATCCAGGGCCAGATTGTGGCCAGTGCTCACACTCGGAAGCCCTGCCCGACTCAAAACATGTCTGCTAGTTACCTTGGCAACAACAGCAGGGCAGAAATCATCAAGAGCCTGGTGCACTCCCAGGACTACCTGTCACACGCTGTAAGTGTCACAGTGCCAAGCCAGGAGCCCAGGTGTGCTCAAAGTAGTCTACAGAGATGGTTTGAAAATAACTTGGACTGTCATCGGTGTTCTTGCTTCACTTGGAGCTGGGATGTGTGCTCAAGGCTGTTTGCTTTTACTAAATATCTGAGGTCAAAAAAAGAAACTCTGAATGAAAAGGAGGACTGTTTGAAATTGAGTCCATATTTGTAGACATTTTACAGGTTCTGACATCCAAAATGGCTTCATGTGTTAACCTATGAGATTCAAAGGAGACGCCACTGTTTGATATCTGAACGCAACATCCTGAGCCAACTCCCCTCTCATGATCACAAAGGGGGTTCCCGCCTCACATCAGGCTCTAAAATGTCCACTGAGGGGTCTCCATAGTCTGCAAGTCATTAGGCCTATTTATATCTCACCCAGAACATCTGAAGGCAGCCGAGATTCAATATGTTAAGAATATTAGTCTTTTACTTCAAGGCACCTGTAGCTCAGCTTGAAGTTGGAAGAAGAGGGACATGATAGGAGAGTTTCATATCCACATTTCAGTTTTCAGAGCTGCATTTTAGTTGTCCCACAGCTATTTGGTCTTCAAATGGGTTCAAATGGATTTTTGGTGAACCCTAGAAGGGTGACCCAGTCACCACGCCAAACCCTCTATAGCCACCCGCTGAATTCCTCCGTGGTCACTGATGAGGGTGGCTCACTGTGTGGGTAAACTCAGTCTGCCCTCGGAAACAAGGAGTGTTTGATGTGCATAAATAATAATGAACCACTGGACTGAGCCAGATGGAAAAATAGCAAACAAACAGAAGTTGTTTAAAGCAGTAAAGTTCCAGTTGCCGTACAGCAATAAATGGTTAAAGCTATATTTTGGGATACAGATCAACTTGAGGTTTCTTCCTGTTTGTGCTTGTGTTTATACAATGAGTGCGCAGGGTGGAGTTTGCAGTTTAAATGTATGTGGAAAACAACCCATAGAGTCGCGGATAATAAATCATAAATAAATTAGTGTTAAAGAACTGAAAAGAGCAAAATGAAATTATCCATCAATTAGAATAAAAACTCACAGTCCTAGTGCAGCAGTTTCCACAATAGATATATAGAAAGAAGCCCTTAGCCATTTTCAAACATAATGAATTAAAGAGAAAAACTCAGAATGCTGCTTCTGTAAGAAGAGATGAGCTGATGTAGGCTACATGATTGTTCTCTTTGCAGAAGGAGGTGTACATGATAGCTGCTGGTGTTATTGGAGGAGTGTTTGTCATCTGCACATTGGTGATGTTCCTCGGAGTCAAAGAGAGAGACGGTGAGACTTTTCTTTGTGTGTGTGTGTGTGTGTATGGGCGCCTGGTATTACTTACATTGTGGGAACTGAATCCTGTTTACACACACACTGTGAGGAACTGGCCTTCCTCATAGGGACCAGATGCTGATCCCCATCATGTAAATCACTGAATTTTACTATAAATGACAACAAACAGCATCCATTGCAACGCATGAGCAGTTCCAAGATTGCCATATGCAAATCCATTGCCTTTCTTTTACATGTTCTTTGAAATGCGGCATACTCATATTTTTATTCCACATTTCAGATCCATATGCCACAAGGACAGAAAAGCAAATCCCATTCTATAAGGGCTTCATCCTGGTGATGAGACACAGGCCGTACCTCACTCTAACCACTGCATTCCTCTTCATCACTGTCGCCGTTCAGGTACATTTATTTTGGCAGCACTTCTCAGACATGACACTCAACATTACAGGAAATGGAGCCGGTCCTGGATCCTGACAATGTGGGAAAATTGCAGTCGCTCAATGCTGATTTGATCAATGCAGAAGAGCACTTACTGAATGCTCATGGTTTAAAGCATGTTTTAAGTTTCAGGACTCTTGAGAGTGATGTCAGCACAGCATTTGCTTTATATTTGTCTGATGCTACAATTATGATACCTTGAGTTTAGGCTGTTAAAATTACTGCAGACTTTCCAAGTTTTGCAGTGGGCCTTTTTCTGTATATTTTCCCACTCTCATCTCAGAGGAGGTGTCAGTTGTCAGTCGAATAAATCAGCGCAAAACACCATCAGCATCTTCTTCCAGTCACTTCATTCAGCAGTCAGCACTGCGAGCTAAGCGCCCACCGACAGCGCTGAATACACAAGACAAGAATGAATATCTAACACTGCAATTTCTGATTTCTGAAGGTGCTACAGAGCAACTTAGTCCTCTTCTGCACTTACGCTGCCGACCTGAGGGATCACTTCCACAATATTGTGCTGACCATCCTGGTGAGTGCAGCTTTTAGCACTGATTTACCTCACAGGCACTCATAAGACATAACAAACCACTTGTCTGTAAAATACAAAGATATACTGGTATGATTAACTGTGTAATGTGACTGAGCAACAAACATTTTTATGTTATGTTAAGTTAGCAGCTGTTTTGGATGAATCATTTATTGTTGCGTATATTTTGGAAAAAAAAATTCTTCCATTCAAATTTGCACATATTTATAATGGTTGTCATTATACATGTACATAAATGTTGAGTCATCTTCCCCATTCCTATTCTCATCTTTAATTTCAGGCTTATTTATCTGACTGAATAATATTCAAAACACAATATCTGCTTGCACATGTTTACCCAGGTTTCTGCAGTGTTAAGCATCCCACTGTGGCAATGGTTTTTGCAGCGGTTTGGGAAGAAGACGGCAGCTTTTTGCGGTATTACAGTGAGTATACTGCTTTTATTTTGCTTTCCCAGAGTAGCCTTTAACACAGACTATTAATGCTTTGATGTTTGAGCCAACTTGTGGATGAGCCTGGAAGTGTGACGTCCCTGCTTTAATCACACAGACATTTGTAAATGTTTCATGATGTTGGAGAAGTGCCATATTCAAAACCAAATTACACACTTTAACTTGTTACTCTTCTGTGTCTATCTAGTGGATCATGCCCTTCACCTTAATGCTGGTGTTCATCCCTAATGTGGTGGTGGCCTATGTTGTTGCTGTCTCATCTGGACTAAGTGTGGCTGCGTCACTCCTGCTGCCATGGTAAGACTTCAGAGCACAATAGATCATACTGTACTCATCAAAACTCAGCCAAATCATTTATGAACATGGCTTATAAATTTGAGCTAAGGTGGCAGCCACTGAAAGCCTTGAAACTTCTGTTATGAGATCAGATGAATCAAGAATTCATTCTTTTTCCCTGGGTGCTCCAGTTTTGTGTTGTAGTCAAGAAAAACAGGCAAACTAGGGAGAATGGAGACTACTGTATGTTGTCCACTCACACTTAAATCTAAGTCAGAGTCTGTCATTGTTTATGTAAATGGAGACCTGCTATATAGTTGTGCCGTGACTCTGCTTCTCAGGCTAGTCGCCTTTGATTTGATGCAGAATGTCATTAGTCAAACCACAATTGTGCATCAACATGCTATTAGCGGTGCCCAGGGGGCCCTGTCCGTTCACCAATTCAGTGAAATTCAATTCAGTTTTATATGTATAGCGCCAAATCACAACAAAAATCATCTCAGGGTGCCGTAACATTATTATTATTTTTATTATTATTAACCCAACAAATCCCCTTGAGCAATCATGTAACATCACGGTCACAGAAGTGAAGTCATTTTTACGACCAGCATCTACCACAAATCTTCTATGCCGTTATAGAGCTAATACAACACCAGAGGTGAAGGACTTTTCTTTTCTGCATCGGTTTTCCAGTCATTTCAATGGCCGACTCTGCTCCTCACTCAAACCCCAAATTACAGGGGCCGTCCATGGGGGCATGTTTATTTTGGAAGGGGCTGATTGTTTATCCTGTCTGCGGGCCAAGGCCGGTAGTAGCGCCCGCTGCTCATCATCTTATCATGTTATTAGCTCTGTAATTTTGCCTTACATCGTCAGCTGCTAGCATCTTGACTAGTTGTATGAGGTGATTAAAGTAAGACTGCAAGGGAAGTCTCAGTCACACATCATCTTAAAATATGACCATATATTGATGCTGAGCATTTAAGACAAAAGGCACTTGCTCACAAAATCATGCAAAAATAAATAAACAGTTTACCAAATTCTGCATGTGATGTGATGTGTGTTCAATCCAGGTCAATGCTGCCAGATGTGGTGGATGACTTTAGACTGGCCAACCCCTACTCTAAAGGCCATGAAGCCATCTTCTACTCATTCTACGCGTTTTTCACCAAGTTTGCTTCTGGCATCTCCCTGGGAGTGTCAACCCTCTGCCTGGAGTAAGTCTGACTTACTATCACATATGCACCATTAATTTACACACTACACAACGTTCTGTATCTGCACTTAGTGTGTCATGATACATTGCAAAGATGCATTAACCCCAGACCTGTTGCATAATTCATCATGTAAAAGGTGTCATGTTTGCTCATTTGCAGCATTGAAATGTCAGGCTGGATGTCGATTTCCTGTAGCCTGTTTTTAAATGGATTCTCTGCATGTTTGTGTGTGTGTGTTTAGGTTTGCAGGGTATAACACGGGTGCCTGCAAGCAGCCTGCTCCTGTAGTGTTCACCCTGAAGCTGCTGATTGGCGCTGCACCAGTGGCTTTCATTGTTATAGGGTTAACGATCCTCTTCTTCTATCCCATCAGCGAAGACGTACGGCTCAAGAATAAATTCTGCCTAGACGAGCTACGGTGAGTGGTAAACATAGATAAACACTTGAGAAAAAAACCTTTCAACCTTTGAAGGAGCACTCCACTGATTTCACACATTGTGTTCAGTTTGTCATGAGGAGTACTATTCAGCCTGAGAGGAAGAGGGAGAGAAGGAGCTTTCTAATAACTCTGATGACATCATCAGGGTTATTTGTCGCTTGAAACCTAAACAGTATAAAGCCTGCTTTGCAAAATGGAGGTTGTGTTTTAAAAAGTGGGCATTTTCTACAGGAGGCAGTGAGAGTTTCCTCAAAGACGTCATTGAGTTGCATTATAGGAATTTTATGATCCAGCATTTTTGGAACTTAACCCATAATACAGAATAAAAGTCAGGGTATCTCAGCATCTGCTGCTTCAGTTCTGACAATTCTTTTTAACATGACTTTTGTAATTCCCTGATGGAAGCGGAATGGAACTGCAATACTAAATTGCTATAGTACCCCTTTAGCTCCTCTCTTTGGCCTTTTTATGTTACAAAATAGACTACACTGAAACATGACTTGTGAATGAGATGTCATCCAATAAACATAACAGCCGAATCGCTTTAAGGGCATTACTGTTGTGTTACGATAACGTTACCATTTATTACTTATCTAAACTTTGGAACAAACTGTTCAAAGCCAGCATGGTCAGCTGTCTCAATAATGTTGTAAATTAATATGCTTTTAACCAGTGGTGGCAATATATGACAAGAAAAATTCTAATTAATGCCCTGAATTCAAAATTTGACATAGGTAAAAGACATATTATCAGCTAAATTGACTCAAATGATCAAAATGAGAAACACTTATGTATAAATTCCCCTGTGTTATATCATTATTACTGGATCCGCATTATTAATGCATTAACATGTAAGAAGTACTCTCGTATTATATTTGGTAAAGCTGAAGTTATTTAACTGCTTCATACACTGTTTGATTGTTTAATCCATTACAATGCATCACATTTACAACTTTATGTTTAGCATACAAAATCTCTTGGTAATATACAAGTATAAAGTAGGAGAAAATGGAAACAGTCATGTAAAAAGCAAGTACCACTGTTTGTAATGTAATACATTAGTAATGTTGATGTCTCCCACAGGAAACAAAGCATCAGCTCCAGAATGACAGAAGACTTAGGTAACGTGTGACCTGGAACTTAAATGGAGTGAATTTCAGAATGCCAAGGATTCCAGTAACACGGCTGGAAGTTTGTTCATTAGTGTATATTACACTGATATAAATAGTTTTATTGTAAACATTTTGTTTCGTTTCCACATGTACTATATAGTCATCTTGGATATCGAAATATGTAAAATAACCTAATTTATATAAGCAAATGCATATTATTTGCTGTGTGTAGCTCTACAACTTATTTATGATTATAAAAGATATGAAATGAATAAATATTGTAGAGGTGATTCAGTAGACAGTAAATGTGTGTTGTGCTTCTTTTCAGAATGCATGCTAATAAAAAAACAAAATGAATACTACAGTAGTTAGCAAATTTTATATTCAAAAAGCTACCCAAACCTTTTTTATTAACAAGACACTATTCTCTGTGTAAAGAAAAAAAACATCTTTTTCTAGATGACAGTGCCCTCATCCACAGGACACGAGGGGTCACTGAATGGCTTGATGAATATGAAAATGATGTGAATCATATGCTATGGCCTTCACAGTTAGCAGATTTCAACCCAGTTGAACACTGAGCAACATGTTAGACAGTATGCTCCACCAGAGACTTGTAGAATCAGTACCGAGGTTTACTGAAGCTGCTCTAGTGGCATGTGGTGGCTCAACACCTCAGTGAGACACTTTATAGTGGGTTTAATTTGTCACCCTTCTGTGGTGGGTCTTCCAGACAACACTAGTGAGAAATGATAAAGTTTCAGTTGAATCTTGCCCCCTCTAGTGGTCAGCTGAGTTAGCAAACTTTGTAACTCTTAGTACAAATGTGGTTGAAAGACAATTACTGTATGTTCAGTGAAACATATTTTATATGAATAACACCTTATGATTGTTAAACTTATATCAGAGTGGAACTAATCAACAAAAAAAGATCAAATCCAGATTTTTATATAGATAGAGCCAGAAATGTGTACACCTTCATAATTCTAGTGGTTTCTGCAGCTCTCTTGTAATAACAAATGGAACAGAAAACATTTAAATCACACTGCTGTTACAGACAATGGCCTTATAGGTTATACTGAGAGCTCATTGGCCACATAGTGTTCAGGAAAGTCACGGAACAGACAGGTGATCAGTGAACGCAGGCAATCCGGTACAGTAGTGGCCGACTGAATCAGCTGATTGAACGCAGCTGTACGGCTCGTCTCTCGACATGTCCTGCCCCTTGTTCTCCCTGCCTGCTCAAGAAATCGAGGGAGTGCAGGCAGTGGACCTAACAACTTCAGCCCAAGGTTCTTGCATGAGGATATCTAAACAATATACATCTGGACAATCTGATTAAATAAGAAAACATGTCTAATATATACTGAGGTGAGTGCCATCTCAGCATCAGTATCACATATGAATAGGCAGCCCTTACTGTTTTCAGGTGCAGTGTCCACTGTGTCCATAAACTAGGGTGTTTGTTGAGAGGCATTATGTTGAAGTCTCTGTGGCTGTGTTGGGGTTTTGGCTGGGGGCGGGACTGGATGGGCAGGAGTTCTCTGGGCTCCCAGGAGGCTGCAGGGTAGTTTTCCGCTTCCCGTTGCGCACCGTGAGCTCCTCTTTGGGCCTGAACGTCAGAGGTACAAAGCCATCTGCATCTGCCACAAGTACGATCCACAGTGGACCTGGAAAAAGACCACAAGGCTTCACATGGTTCTTTTGGGTTTCCTTATTTTAAAAAAAAGACCACCAAACCACTCCAAAATATGGTGTGTGATAGCAATAACTCACTTAGGACAGTCAGTCTTTGCTGTAACACCAACAAAACACTGCACATTAAATGCTAGTAACCTGCTTTTGTTTAAATCCTTTTAACCTAAGCTAGGCTTTTAATCACTTCCATTTATATCTTACACATGCTAATGGAAGAACAATGCTAGAACTTGTTGACCAAGAGACTGCAATAATTCTTTATGAATTAAAATGCATTCTGAGTGGGCAAAATGGTGGTTTAAAAAGTAGATAATTTGATTTACCCCTCAATAAACCCTCTGTCTCTACATGGTTAATCTTTGATGCGAGGCAGTTTAGATACTGTTCAATAGTAAAGACAGCTATTCTCAGCTGTTCTTGGGTTGAACTGGACTGGTATTAAAAACTAGCAGCAATTAGAGTCCTGGACAAAAAACCCCCCCAAAAGTACAGAATATTATGACCATAATAGGCTGCACACACCATACATCATCTCCACAATAGTGAGGCCAAAGAGGTCTTGGAGGACACGGAGACACAGCTTCCCATCACACAGCAGCACTGGCCTCCGCTCATTAATGAACACGTTCTCTGATAACTGCTTCTGCATGTGCGCAAAGATGGAAGAAATAAAGAGAAACGGATGCCATCAGAAATAAATGAAGAGGGAAAGCTGGATGCAATTGTAATCTGCAACACACCATACTTGGATTTGTGTGTTTGGAACATATTAACAGATTTAAGGTATTTCAGTTGTGTTATCCTTACAAAGGCAAGACCGCAGTTGCAGCAAGACAGGGAATCTTCTCCTCACTAACTAGGGTTAATATCTCTACACAGTCAGTTAAAAATACACAGGACGTAGAGAAAATGTAGCACTGTACCTGATATGTGACACTGACATAGGGGGGCTCACGGGCACTGGGGTAGATGCTCAGGGCCTTCTTGCCATTCTGGGTATAATCTCTGATTTCTGTCAGGCACTGCTGTACATCTGCAAAGCGTGTAAAAAGCCTCTCCATGTTACGGACAAGCTGCTCCAGCATGCGCTCCCTGGCAGGGCCTGATGATTTTTCAGGCATGGGTGGCATCGGCTCGGTGTGAAGCTTGTCCAGCAGTTCTACGTGAGGAGAGTTCGCTCGGCTGGAGTCTCTGCTAGCTTGGCCAGCCACAGCCAGGCAGGCCATGCGGCTGATGTGGTCCATGTCGAAATTCTCCACTGTGACAGAGGAGGAACTGGAGAAGGCTCTGTCTGATACTCGGTCGGAGAAGTCCACAGAGCTGGCAACAGGGCTGGGTTCGCCTATCCTCACCTCCTCTACCAGCCTTCGCCTGTTGCCTGGTGAAAATACTACTCCCCCTCCAGGCAACACCAAGTCCTTTATCCCTGGGCGCTCCCTGTCATCCTTAGACAAGTGCTCTGAGTACCTTCTAATCCCTGTGTAGAAATTAGAAGTAACCTCATGACTGTGAGCAGAGGCAAGTGGTGTAAGAGGAGCCTCTCCATTGTACACCAACTCTTTGGTTATTAGATGAAGAATATATTTATCTGTGTTAGAAGATGGGAGGAAGGCCGGATCGCTGGACTTCTGCTTTCCCACCATCAGCAGCAGCATCTTGTCACTGAGGAAACAGACTCCTTTAGGCCTCTCATTTGTCTGTAGAGAGATCTGCTGAATGTTCGGCATTGTGGAGGCTGTGATGCAATATACAAGCACCATGTTGCATGTGTTGGAAGCCACTGCAACCGTGGAGCCACGTGAATCAAACGCAACAATGTCAGGAACCAAAATCCCAGGGATGCTAACTTTGCGGGTGGTAGTGACTTTACGCTCATAGGTGACCAAGATTAGGTGTGAGGAGTCCTGTCCAGAGCCTGTCAAAGTGTCTCGGCGATGAAGGTGAATAAGTGGGCTGGGGTCAGAGCGGCGGTGCCTTGCCAGGAGGTGGGTGAGATCTAGAGGGCCTGAACTGGGTACGCAGGACTTCTCAGATTCAAATGATCTTCTTCTTGAGTCTAGAAGGCTGTCGTCATCTGATGTGACCACATGTGACTTTTGGCCTTGCAGGGGCTCTGTCTCTGTTGGCATGTCAAAGGTTAGGCCTGCATTTAACCCACAGATTTTATCTAGAGGTAGTTCTGTGGCCACAGCTACTTGAGACTCTCCTGTAGTGTTGATGGCACAGATATAGCCTCCCACATCAAAGATGGGGCAGAAGGAGCAGGGCACCAGATTCTTCTGGATGTCATTCCAGATGTAAGAGTGAAGAGCACTGCCTATAGCCACCACCAGGCGTGTGCCATCCTTAGTCCAGCATGCACAGTGGATGAGCCCACTACCTTTGATATCTGCTTTGACTCTCCTGTTGTCCACTCTGACAGAAAACAGCACAGAGGTGTCCTTCTTGGTCAGTACAGCCAGAATGTCCAGCTTAGGATGCCACATGCAGCCTTGGGGGAGCAAAGGGAAAGGCTCACTCATCTCACAGGTCTGAGTGCACAGCAGCTTGCTCTGTTCAAGGGCGCTGAGCTGCAGTTGCCACACAGTAACATGTTTCTTGTGCTGAACGGCCAGCAAGGCGGGGGAGTCACAGCAGCAAAGAGGGCCCCAGAAAAGCCCGAAGACATGTTCAAACTGTCCGATAACATTGGTGTCCCCGAAATTCACCTCACCATTGTTGAAGCAGAGCGCTGTCAGGCAGACCTGCTTACCGTCTGTCCATGCTAAACCATGCACAGGGTGGATGGCTTGGTGTAGATTGTTGATGCCTGTCCTCAGCAGCTTTACCTTACCAAGATCCATCCTGGCAGGTATGAAGACGCTTCTTTAAAGAGAAAAGGAAAACAATTATGGCCCCAGAATTTAACATTGATGACAGAGACCTACATCTGATCTGAATGTGTCCTGCGTAAGAGGAGCTATTGCTGCCTAGGTGGATTAAGAATAACAAAAGCCTCTCTTGTGTCTCTCTCCAAGTACATGCCTTAATCCTCTCTGCCTGAGCTGAGGCAGTGGTGACGAACACTTAGAGCCACTTAAGACTGAATGAGCTTAACAACACACAGGTCCAGTTAGAACCTCAGGGCATTAACAGTACTATAATAGACGTGTCTCATTTAGAGGGAATTAGGGGACTTTCATATTAAAATTATGTTTTAACCTCATCAAATATAAGATGTTATCAGAATAATACAAAGAAATTGATTTAGATGACCTAAGAGTTTACAAAATATCACTCACATTTGGCATATGAATACTGGAAAATATTAAGTAGAATATGTGAATATAACCTAATATGACAAATATAGGGAAAGGTAACTTAATAGAAAATAACAGAATACAAACTTACTGACTCGAAGTCACACTGTGTAAAATTAGATTATGAACTTAAGTAACCACCGTTGCTAATACGCAAAAGTTTTATCAATTCATATTCACTAGAAATCATTAGCCTAGTTACATATAGCATAGTACTAAGCTAAAGAAATAACTAATTGGCGTAAAACCCTATAAAAACATTTAATTCGACTGTACGCATACCTTACAAAACTACAGACATCTCGTGTGCCCGACGTATGAAAAGCTGAAAGTGAATTTCCTATATGAATTCACATTTTGCCGACTAAAATGCGCCTCAACGTTTCATTTGACTTGACTCGGAAGCAAAACTATGTGACAGTTTCAATGCATTATGGGATACGTAGTTTTCTTCCTTCTTTAAATTTTTACCAGTTTTACCCACTCGAGGTCGCTGCGTGTGTGTCATATCAAATGCTGGGCAATTTAAGAAAACTAAAATATGCTTAATATTGAATATCAGGAAGACTATAGCAAAATGGAAACTAAAACTAGCAGAAGACAACAATTAATGTATTCAACTGAAACTATCACATTTGCCATCTGACGCAAGTATTTGGCAAGACTGAAGACAGCGTACGTGGTGCAGTGGTGGATCTCGACGCTGTTCCGCTATAACAGTAGAAAGTGTCTTGGATGTCTCACCGTTGACTGCAGCTACGGGTCGGTAGTGGTTGGTGAATGTATGGTTTCCACGGATGTAGCCCGAGTTGTAGCCGTCAAACAGATAACATTGGTTGTCGAAAGGGCTTTTTCGCTGTATGTTTAAGAGCTAATTTCTGAAGTAGCACAACCATGGGCGTGGAAGTCGAGATAATATCCCCCGGTGATGGTAAGTTGATTTATCCGCTTGTGTGCGTTCAGATGTGGGGGTGGTTGTAGTGTGGGGGCTCGGTAGTTCCCAGGAATTTCCTTCAGATATTTGTTAAATAGTAACATAATTTACACTACATACCAAGTTCAGTGGTGTAGAAACTAAGCAATTTACTCGTTAAAAAGCTAGCAACTCGTAGTAGTATTCGGGATATAATAAGAGTCTGTAAATCCCATATTGTCATCACTGACGCCTGTGCAGCATTTTTCTAGAACCCTCTACACAGCAAAATCAGCATTGTTAATTCAACACCTATAGAGTTAAATTCAGCACTTTCTATTTTGGTCCACACTACACAGAGTTAAAACTACACTTTTGAAAGTGTTAAATGCTTTACATTGTGACAGAGCTGCAGTAACTAACTCTGCATTTCAAATTTAACACTAGTAAGTGTTGAATTTACACAACAGTAGTGTGCGTTGTCAAAAGCTATCTCCATCAGTGCAGTTTATTTAACACTAAAGTTGCTGTCATATTAACACCATAGAGGTCGTAAAATATAACTCAGTATTTAACCCTTTTAAGAGTTGATTTGTATTTTAAAAGCACTACAGGGAGTCAAATAAACCCCATTTCCACTCCCGCACATACTACAATATTATATACTATTACAAAGGTAATAAAAAACACCAGTAAAAAGAGGTTTGCAATTCAAGTGAACTTGTATTTTAAACATGCACACAACATATAAAGACAGCACTGGCTTTACAATAACAGATCCTAACAATGCAACTAGTCCTCAATAACATGGGTCACACAGTATGACAAGTGTCTCTACATATGCTTTTCCATCCATCTCATTAGAAAACTGTTTGTTATAGGGTCTATAATAAATCAGTTCATCAATCCCATTAACAGAAAATGAAATATTTGTCAAAACAGTCTCCCGGTGGAAATGAATATGATTTTTGAAACCTAAATAAGTGCAAAATGATAAAGAACATCCCGGTTGTTCACACTTCAAATGTAATGTCCTTCCTGGATATGGTGAAACCTCAAATGCTGACAAAGCGATGCAGACCTTTTCTGATGTGCCTTACAGATAAAACAAATCAACATATTTGCATCCAAGGATGTTTATCTCCTCACTTGTCTGTTTGCAACTGTCTCGCTCTGTGCTCCCTGACTCTGAGACTTTCCTTGGCACTTTGGTTTAGATGAATGTGTAGGGATTCCTGGTAGCTAACACTGAAGATGAAGTGTTTCATGAAGAGCTCATCAAAAACGGCAGGATGTCTGCACCTAGTAAGGGATGGCCTTGAGGTCAATGATGGCACAGAATCTTTGGATTTTGTTCTTCTGTTCACCAGCACACCGGAAGAAGGGCTGTCATGGTTCCAAACTTCCAAGGCTCCGTTCTGCAGCAAAAAATAGAGAGGAACACTGAAATAAAGCGCCACTTACATGTTAACATCCAGCTAAGCTACTAATAACATATGTGCCACTACACAAGAAATGGCAGTGTCAGAACAACTGCATAAAAAGTACACTTTAAAATGGCGTAACCTCTAACATGGTTAACAGCTTGATACCAGCTAAATTTAGCACTCTTCTTGTAGCCTTTTGAGGTAGGGAGAAGTAAGTGGACCAACAGTAGAATACTTGACAGGTCTCTGTCTCAGCCTAAGGGCAAAGCAGAAGAAAATATGGGGCTCTGAAGCTTTATGATGGCATGGTCAGACACCCCCCTCTTTGGGGCCACATAATGGGTAAACATCATTTAACTTGTATACTGAGCTTCCATAGGAATGCACATTTAATTGTGTATTATTGATTGTGAATGCTAGTACTAGCTAGTGACTGCTGTGAATAGGGCAGCAGACAACTAGGGAAAAACCAAGTGAAAGTCTGGAAAGACAACTGACCGTGGGGCATATGGACTGGCAACCCATGATAGGAGCAGCCTAGGTGTTTTTTTTTTCCTTGAGGCAGCACCAATCAAGCCACAAGTAAGCAAAAGAGCATATCCAGTGAGTCAGTGAGAGCAGGGGTGGAAGATGATTCCCAGGCAGGACACCTGGTTATTGACCTTGGGATGGATTTGACAGTGAGTAGGGTGGGCACTCCAGTGAAAGCAACAGTATCACAGGTAGAAGAAAGACAATTGCAGATATGTTGCTGTGGCTGGAGGAAAGTGACTTCCAACAAGGGCCTTAGAATAAATACATCAGGGAAAGAAAAAGAGCTTGGAGGCAGGTAAGAGCACAGTGGCCACGGGCCCTGCATTGATCACTACTTCCTAAGAAGTCAAGTCACGTCCATTGAGGTGAATTCCAGCAACATGAGTAACCAAAGAGTGCAGGATATCGGCATCCCTACAGGATGAGGAAGAAGCAGAAGGTAGCACCAAAGAATAGAGTCAGGAGAGTGGTCAGGGTAGTCAGCCAACGAAAGAGAAGGGCATAGGGCAAAAACCCAAAGTATATTGGCCTAAGGCTAGTGAGAAGGGCATATGGGCAACAGTTTTATCAGATCTAGTAGATGCTCTTGAATCATTGAAAGGTACAGTTGAGAAGAAGCTAGAGAAAATGGGAGATGTAATTTATGAATACTGAGTGCAAAGATTTGGAGTTTGTGAAAGTAGAAATAAAGCAGCAGCAGTAGAGATTAATACACTTATTTGAGAATGAAGACAGCTTAGAAAGCAGTGGAGAAAAGTGAGAGAGAAGGCACTAACATGTTGAAAAATGACCTGAAATCTAGGCTAGCAAATCTAAGGAGAGCAGAATGGCTTAGAAAAACTAGACAGAGAAAGAAATGTGATAGGGCATGTTAAATAAGGATCCATATAAGTTCACCAAGGCACTATTTAATGAGAGAGGTGGCATTTTGAAAGTGGCTAAGAGAGAATTAGAGACTTACTTAGAAAAGATGCATGCAGTTAAAGGTAGGGACAGCAAGGTAGGTTTGCCAGTAGATATGCCCCCCATTGGGGCAGTAGAACAACACTGAGAGAAGTGGAAATGGTAGTTAGGCGAAGTCTTGGTCTGCCTACAGGAGAAAAGACCTTAAGTCCTTATAACCCATCTCAGACAAAATACCATCCACAAATGAACTTATTTTTTCATGTTTTTGCAACTGAAAGTGTATATTGTCCATCCATCCATTATCTGTACCACTTATCCTGAAGAGGGTCATGTGGGGGCTGGAGCACAAACCCAGCTGCCATTGGGTGAGAGGTGGGGTACACTCTGGACAGGTTGCTAGTCTATCACAGGGATGACACTTAGAGACAGACAACCACACACATTCGTACGGGCAATTTAGAGTCACCAGTCAACCTAAGCTGCATGTCTTTGGACTGCGGGAAAAGGCCGGAGAGAACCCACACAGTCAAAGGGAGAATATGTAGACTTCCTACAGAAAGGCACCAGGTCGACCTGGGCTTGAACCTGGAACTTACTTGCTATGAGGTGACAGTGCTAACCACTAAACCATCCTGCTGCCTGAAAGTGTATACCTTCAGTAATAATTGTTTACATAATTATATAAAAAAAAAAAGCTAATCAAGAATGTCTTTCTTACCAAGGAAGGAGTGTCAAGGAATCATGGGAACATATCCAGGACTGTTGAGAAGTGCTGCTAGTCTCAAACCAATATCTGGCAGTATTGAAGTTTTGCCCTCATCTTCTCTTTGACAACTGATCCCTCAGTTGAATGCTTCAATAAGAATATGGAATCACAGCATTCCTCGCCAAACAGTTGCTTGTTAGTCAGGAGAAATTCCCTCTTGCTCTTTGGACCATCTTTATAGGTGATGCTGGTGGAGGATAGTGTTCCTGTAAAATCTGGAAAGAAAAAGAAAACTGAGAAACACAGGGGAACTACAGGGCAAGTGCAGAATAAATTAAGAGATATACTTAATGTATACTTCATAAATTGTAATATAACCTATTCATGTACACACTTAAACATCCATTGTTTAAGTATGGATCTCTGAGGATGGGTATTGAGGAATAACTCTCTTGTAGTTGAATTACACTAATCGAGTTGAATTGACTATATATATTTTACTCTCAGCTCCAACATTGAAGATGTAACACTTTTGATGTTGCTGTGTATATTTAACATTACTCTTGAATGCTTGAAATCTTAAATAGGTGAAATCAACCTTAATTATCAAGTCTCTTCAAATTGAGATTTACTAAATTTACTGAGATAGAGTACAGTCAGCCTCACAAGTCTCAGTGCAAGTTCGATTCATTTCTCACTGTCAGACGCACTAATAATGTAACTGAGGGCATTTGATAGCCCTTTACTCTGAAAAACAAGCCTCCAGGTTAAAGTTACACTGTAGGGATGAGACTAACAGATGCATATCTGACTTCAATATGTCTGCAGGCATAAGGTGGATATTTCATTCCTGCCAGGAACACCTCATCAGTCTTGTTCGTTATTAATCTATGAGTTTGCCACAGAGGTGTACAAACACGCAATAACATTTGTTTTCTCTCTTAACAGGAAGAACATTTCCAAAGAAGGGCCAGACGTGTGTTGTTCATTACATAGGTAACTGACTCTTGCTTTGCTTGAGGCAACCAGACATATTTCTTGTCTTCTTGTTGGCAGAAGAAATGTATCTGTGTCTCTTTGTGTATGTGTGTTTGTGTTTTTGACAGTATCTGGAACATGACATGGCTCAGTTTGCGGCCCTGCTCTCACAGTGTACACAGGCTGCGAGGCGTATATGCACCTGTGTCCATTTTCAAAGATAGGGTGCCACCGTCACCACACTGCGAAAAGTCATTTGCTTTGGAAGGAGAATTTCGGTGTCTCACAGTCCCAGCACCACTTACATACCGTTGTACTGTTGCAGCTTGCACCATACACATAGTTGTATAACCAAGCACACACATATATAAACAAACACACATAAACATTTGGAACAGTTTTTCATGTTTGTACTTTGTCAGCTTACCCAATTTTGAGGCGGGGCAGTAAGACATTTGGGAAATAAATTAGTGTTCTTCCATGCCCTGGGGTCGACGGTCTAGACAAACAGGTCAGACAGAGAGTAAACAAAATCTAGTTCACATGTCATCAGTCTGTCTGTGTATGAAACACACTCTGGCATTGTCTCTGTAGTAAACTGCCTTGAGTCAAGCTTGTGCTGCATTGTGCATGTGTGTATCAGTCAGTCACCAATCCTTGCTTATCCCTGGGGATTTCATCACTTGAACACTTGAGCTGGGTCCACATTTTTTCTTTTCACCCACTTGCTTATAAAGTTTGGTTTTATGTAAAAAAAAAATTGAATCTCTGTTCAGTTAGCTTGTGTAAAATTATATCCAGAAAGACGGAGGCCAACTCAGGATTGAGAATATGTTGTGCTGTTCAACTTTTTTGGGCAGTGGAGAACGTAATCACATTTCCTTGTCTGGCCTCATCCCTGCAGAGATCAACTACTGAAGTAACGAATTATGCTATAACTGGAAGTGATACGTCTCAGCATGTGAAGCTGCTCTGTTGAGCTCTCCACTGGAGACGTGCTTAGTGAGGGTTTGCCTGGCGTTTCTCTTTCCTTTACCTACCGGTATTTGGTTAGTAAATTAGCAATAGCAAATGATGAGTTTTGGCATCCATCGACACCTCGATGGCACTCAAGGATTATGCAAGTTTTGGATGCCCTGCTTTTTTTCTGTACTTATCACGTCTCTGAATGGAACGAACTTGGCTACAGTGTCGTGCCTGCAAGACCTGTTAGTGCCAGAATGTGCTGGCACCTGGGATTGACCTCTGTGGTTGTTTGGCATGAACTCAGTACATATAAAGGAAACAGAGCCATCTTCAGCTTGTGCTCTTTATTGTCTGACTCATTCAAGTCCTGCTTATATCTTTCTTTTCCCTTAAGCCCCTGGTATTTGGCAGTGGCTTAATGCAAACTACAGAATTAAGCTGAAGCAAGGACCTTGCCCATGAAACACAAAATGAGCTAGAAATATGTTAATGTATCAGCAGGGGAAATGCATTTGTAGTAGTCGGTAGACAGAAAAATACTGTTTCAGGGTAGAACTGTACAACATGCAATAAGGCCTCCAGTGTTGAACACAAGCCAGGAGATTGACTGAGGATATGCTTTACAATGAGGAACATTTGTGGCTCTGAGTTAAACATGTATGTACCTGTACACAAGTCACTGTTTTACTTCAGTTTGATTTTCCCACATTTTTATTATGCTAATCTCATGAAAGTTAAAGGTGCATTAAATACGATTTACAAACTGTCTAATAAATCAAATGAAAATGAGACAGGATGGGATGTCTCTTTGTTACTCTGCTTGCCTTCATGATACCGCTGCCTACAGCATCATAGTTATTATTTCAGCATCTCCATCCTGTGTTCTCAAAACATGGTCCATAATTTGGCCTTGACTTCCACATAGTGAAGGTTATAAGAAGCCTTTTTCATACCACAATTTCAGACAGCTGTCATGGAGGATCTCTTCTCTGTTTAAAGTCCAAACCAGTGGCTGCCATACTGAAGAGGACATGTTCTTTTGTACAAAGAGAGTGGAACACACAAAGAGCAAAAACCAGGGTTAACACAGGTTTGTTTGAAATGGAGAAGGTAAAAAGCAGCCAGATTTCTTTCTTCTGGATGCATTAGCATCTAAAGGTAGTTTGTTTTGGTAACATTAGCAACATGGTATGGTCATTTTACCTTTTGTATTGAATTAATATGATTTTATTTTGGGAGTCATTTGAGCTTTGTGTAACATTAGCACTAACCAGAGCACTGTTCTAGATCTTAAGTTACCTAACGCTGAGCCTCACTCTGCCTAACTCCAGCTAATCTGAAAATTGGTGGAGTCTGAAAGGAGCTCGCTCGCTCAACTAGCCATCACAGGTGGGACCCTCCTGCCTGTCACTCAGTGGTCACGCCTTTAATTAATGCACAATTTTTAGCCTCAACATAAATTAAATGGGTGAGTTATATAAGTCCCCCCCATCCCCATCCATCCTCGTACAGTTGTCATGGAAGGAGAAAAATGTTTATTTTTCCTGTAAAGTTTGGTATTTTAACATGGGAGTCTATGGGGATTGACTCCCTTTTGGAGTCAGCCTCAAGTGGGCATTCGAGGAACTGCAGGTTTTAACGGCATTGGCTTCACTTCTCTGCCTCTGAAGTTGCTACGTGACAGGAAAGAGGATGTGAGAGGCATATGGATGTAGGAGGGTCAAAGAGCAGTTTGGAGCGGCTTTTAGTGTCTGTTTGTTCTGAGTCTCACTAGACCCTCTAGGTTGAAAAGAAATTACATAGAGTACAATAGGTTTAAGAAGATATTAAGCTTTTATATTAGTGGAAGTGGAGTGAGGATATAAACTCTCCTCCACCCACCCACCCCTTACGTTTTCTTTCTTTGTGTTGATAATCTCCAGCAGGCAAAAGTATAATATTTGCTTTTCAGGCCAGTACACAGCAGTAAAAACTGTGACTAACCCACGTTTGATTTATTTAAAAGCCCATTGACGGGATTAGTTCAGGATCTGATAAAGAGATCGTACTGGTAATAGAGGTTAGCTGTAGATTTGAGACTTGGCCTATCCAATTAATCCAGCCACAGACTGCCCTCTCCACTGCACTCTGCACTGGTGTTATTTTTCCAGATAGCAAAGATAAACAGTAGGGGTAAGGAGAGAGTGATTTCCCTGTACATAATTGGATTTGAAAGCACTTAGTTACCAGCATTTAACATTAGAGAGCTTCAGTCTCACAGAAACTCTCTCACACTCTCACTGTTATGCCTTTTCAGATCCTCACTTTCACCTCTGGGATTTTAAACACGCAGACATGCACATGCTCTAGCACAAAGACACGCAGATAAGTGTGTGACCCTCCTCTTACTGAGAGTTGTGGTTGCCCAAATTAGCAGAGTGGTCATTACTGTGGGGCTGGTAAGGGCTCTGGCGTCATCAGTGTGGCAGCACAGAATAATTAGCAAAGCTGCTCACACTGTTTCACACACAGTCAGGTTTCTGTTATGCCTGACTGCAAGTCTGGTCAGAGCAGCAGCACATCTTCAGAGCCCAGACAAGCAGGCGAGTGTGGGTCAAGTTTGCATCACGTGTTGTCATCTATTTTGCTTTTGGATTATTTTTCACTGGCCTTGCTGTGGTTTCACTCATGTACACACTGTTGAAAATATGTACAACTGGCTAAAAGCTTGATAAGCTTATGGTAAATGGACTAATTTGGGGGTAGATGACTGATTTTGAAGCAACGTTTGGGTTTGAGGGGCTCCTCCTTCCCTGGTTGTGAGGAATCCTGGAATCACAAGCTCATAGCACTGCTTTCACTAAAGGAAGGAAGTGGAAGCAGTTTTCCCCATATGAAGAAAACTGCAGCATCCTGTGGATTTTGGTAACTGACGAATGAAGTCTAGCACTAGCCCCAGCTAGGGTGGATGTGATCTCATGCCTAAATGTGGACGTCGTTCCTTACCATGTTTGAGCTTCGGACTTGCACCATGAAACGTGCTGGTGTGTGTGTGTGACACAGAAATAGACTGAAACACCAGATTGTATGTCAGGAGCTGTCGAACTCTCCTGTAGTGATTGAATGCCATGGGAAGTGCTCAGTCCCAGGATCGTGGAGTTAAAGGAAGCTAGAAAGGTGTTGACATGAAGCTTCTAAATTAGAACACAAAAAATTCTAACTCAGCTTGAGCTTTTGGTAAATGTCCTGGTTTGTCAGAATGCATGGCATCAGGAGATGTAGGAAAATGTACTGCTTAGTTATGACTATAAGACCTCACCCAAAGGGAAACCACATATCATTGAATATTGAGTTGTCTGTGTGTTTGACAGGCCTGTATTCTGGCTTGTATTCTGACAGAGAGTAGGAAGCTTGTCTGACAGTATGAATATGGAAGTGGTTATATAGCACATGAGTAATTATCCATCACACCTCACTGGTCCACTGAAGAACTCTGACACCCCATATCTTGCTTAGAATTGATCCTTGTATGGCATGTGTGATGACAGCATTAGAGAAACTTTTAAGCTGCTGCTGAGGATCATTTTCAGGCTACCCATGCTTCAGCCATGAATTTGCCATTAGTCTTGGCTGAAATGAATCCTAATTACATAGTGCACATACTCCCAGTTTATTTTATATATTAATGAAGTATGAGGAAGATCAGATTCTTTTCATTGAGACGTGTGTACTTGCAGCTGTGAGACACGGAAACACATATGAGTTTGTCGTAGACGGCTCACTTTACATGCATCCCTTTTTCAGCCGCACTTGGACTGAGGGGGTTGTTGTGTTGGCAGCTGTCCTAGACAGGGGTGAGACAGGATACAGTAAGCTGAGTAAAAATAACCCCACCCCTGTGTGCTACTTCTTTTTGCAAATCTAGCCAGAGCACTACCCAGTCAAAGCCCCTCATGAGGAGGGAGAGTCTGGGAGCCGGCCCCAGGAAGGGATGGGCCCTGCTTTATTTTTGCAGAGACCGCACCCATGCATATCTGTCGAGTGATAACGGAGCACTGATACAAGTGGGGTTTAGGAGTAGTTCTGGATGTCTTTGCTTTCCTGTGAGATAGTCCGACAACCATGACAGAAACATTTAGCATTAGCTCTCTTTATGTACATGTATCAAAAACTGACGGCAGAATGTAGGCCGTAACATAGAGTCAGTACAATTCAAACCATGAAATATACATTCAGTGAAATAATGGAATCCATATCTTCCGTTAGGATGATACTGCTGTGTAGTTCTTCCGCACAAAACAAGAAGCAGGTGGTGCTTTCCCCCTCTCTTTCTATTGTTTTTTTTTTTTTTTTTTT